GTGGTCGATNAATGTTGGGTCGTTGAAGATATGGAGCTTATTGGAGACCTCAGAAGCAGGTCGAGGATCTTTACATGGTTTTGATTTTGTCGAATTCATTTTTCGACTTCAAGGGAAGGTAAATTGGATTCATTACTGATATAGCTCGAGCAGACCTCGGTGGCAGGTCGACGATCTTTATTTGATTCAGGTTTTGTTGGATTTGGTTTCTCTGACCTCAGTGACAGGTCGATAGTACTCATGATGGCTCGAGCAGGTTGATGATTCCTTATTTCATTCTGATTTTGTCGAATTTATTTTTAGACCTTAGTGGCAGGTCGAGATGGTACTCGTTATTGTTCGAGCAGGTTTATGGGTTTATTGGATTTGGTTTTGTTGTATTTGTGCTTTTAATCTAAGTGGCGGGAGTTTATTGTGGATAGTTTGAGTAGATGGAGGGTTTTATGTGGTTTGGTTATGCTATATTTGTGATTTTGATCTCAGTGGCAGGTCGATCAAATGCGTTACCGCATATGTTGAGCAGTGGAAAGTCAATCAAACTCGTTATCGATAGTTCGAGCAGTGTGGCAGATAGAGGAGGCTCATTTCGAGAAAACTCAGGGATTCATTACAGATAGATCGAGCAGACCTCGGTGGTAGGTCGATGGTATTCATTACTGCACGAGCAGGTTGATTGCATTTTATCTTGGTTTTGTCGAATTGATTTTTCGACTTCAAGGGCAGGGAGATGGGATTCATTACGACACGAGTAGATTGATGGTTTTTGCTTGGTTTGGTATTGTCGAGTTGATTTTTCGACCTCGGTGGCAGGTCGAGGCAGTTCATTCAGAGCAGTTCACGAAGTCAGGTCTTTTGGGTTTTTGAGAGGACATACATTAGGCTTAAATTTTAAAGTTCGAACTGGGGGGCGATAGGATGAGGTAACCGGAAACGACCATCATTGAGAGGACAGAGCTCGAACAAGGTGACTGAAAAAGTAGAAGATTTAAGTTCAAATTTTCAAATTCAAGGCTTTGGGAGATCGGACATATGGTATTTAACTTCAGTCTCGGTTTTCGACTTCAGTTTTGGTGTTTAACTTCAGTTTTCGGTTTTGACGGACATTCAGTTTTCGACCTCAATTGTTGTTTGACTTTTGGCGTTCGACCTCAGAGGCAGGTCTCTCGATTCTCGGTTCTCGGCTTTCGACCTCAACGGTCTCTCGATGCTCGATTTTCGGTTTTCGACCTCAACGATCTATCGATTCTCGATTTTCGGTTTTCGACCTCAACGGTCTCTCGATTCTCGGCTTTCAACCTCAACGGTCTCTCGATTCTCGGTGTTCGACCCCAGTGGTGGGTCACTCGATTTTTTATATTAGTGGTCATTCGGTATTCATTTGGGTCCCGATGCTCATTTGGAGGATTGATAACTATTTGGTGGTCGAGGATTTATTTAAATGGTAACCTCATTGGCAGGTCGACGGAAACAATCCGAAGAGGAATTTTCACTCTTGGATCGAGTCATGCTTACTCGACCAGAGTGGGGGGGGGACTAGATGATGGCCCCGTTTGGAAGATAGCGGATTGAAGATAAAATAGCAGATTAGACTTAATTGAGAGGTTTGACCCGTCAAATCCGCTATTGAGTATATTTGGTAAATAGCTTATTTGATAAGCTTTTTGGGCCCAAAACTCTAATTTAGAAAAAACTCATTAGAGCAGCTTTTTGGGATAGAGGATTCACAAAAATCATTTATTTGGAACTTTTTAATTTGTATTATTTATTTTACAATCTACATTGGTTTATGGTGCTAATAAATAATAATATGTCTTCCATATGATTAATTTATCTAGAAAAATATAAAATTTATAACTTCTTCATCAAGTGTCAGTAAATTTTTAAATATATATATATATATATATTTATAAATTACCAACTAAATAATATCAAATGTTTTAATATATTATTATTAAAATAAAACACCCTAAATAATAAAATGTAATTATTGGTCATTTTTGCAATGTCAAACAGCTATAACCTTTCAACTATTTACTAAACACTTATTTAAAAACCGTTAATGCAATTCGCTGGTCAAATCAGCTAATATAATCCGCTATCCGCTATCTGCTGATACAATCCGCTATCCGCTATCTGCTATCCGCTAATCGCCAAACAAGGCCAATATAGGATGTTGTCTTGGACCGGGTTAATGGATAAAGCGAATACATATGGAAGGATAAGCCCACTAAGACATCTAAGCATAACGATATGGGTCAAGCCCAACTTGGGCCCAAAAGGTACACTC